CAATCCTTTAAAGTGTCAGGTAATCACCGAAAATCCATCATTTGTTGAAATCTTTCAATCTTTCAATCTTTCGTTGTTGAACCATTCCCATTGAGAAAGGAAAAGAGAAAGACCATTTTAACACCTAAACAATTGGAGTTGAAGAAGAGCAGAAAAGAAACGAAACAAAGGGAAAAACAAAGGAAAATTCTTTAACAAAACAAGTTTTAGACAAACCACAAAAAGTGCTGCGTTTTAGACTTCCACATTTTTTAAGTGAACAAATTGAGGTGTTTTTGTTTATTTTTGAAATAGAAATTTATAATTTTTCAATTTATAATCATTTAAAATAAAAAAACTATAATTTATATTAATATTTTAATTTTATGTTTATATTGACCTTTAAAAATATTTTTTTTTAAAAATTATAGTTTCAAAATTATATTTATCAAAATTAACTACCTTTGTCCCTTTTTAATGCTATTTATCCCCGACTATACAATAAAATCTCCCAAGAGCGGTACCTCTCAAAAGCGGGCATTTTTAACCAATCAAACATTGAAAACCACTCGATAGAGAACTGACAGTTTATTGTTTTTTGTTCTAAAAAATCAGGATTATTTTTTCTATTTTTTGGTAAATACATTTTGAATAACCAGAAAAACAAAAAAAAATAATTACAAAATATCAAAAAATGCAAATTTATTTGAAAGAAAAAGAAATGGTTGTCATATATAAATTTTTGCCAAGAAAAATAATCGAAATTGATATAAAAAATTCAAAACTAAAAAAATAAAATAAATATCTGAGACACGAGCCACTTCAGGTAGTCGCCAATTGTTTATTGTGATACCACGACTACCTGAGACATGAGCCTTAGGTAGTTTTTCAATTTTGTTTTAACATAAATTACGAGATTTAAAATACAATTAAAATCTATTTCCACGGGAACATTTTTTCTTTCACAGAGTTATTTGTACTGTTGTTTTATTTCTTTTAGTTTATCATTTTTACTCACCACCAGTTTTTTTAACTATTCAATTCTCAACGAAATATCTTTTTGTTCTTCGAGTTCCTTAACATCGGTGGGTTCTTCGTTTTCTTCGATCAATAGAATTCAAATCTTCGATGGAATAGCCCGTTACATCTACCATAATCTTTCCACCTTCTTCTCTAAACAAAGCGTGTTTCCAGCAGCCAATTATTGTTTCGGATGAAACATCATTGTTCCAACAGTCGACAGAATATAATATGGCATCGCCCATATTCATTTTGAGCTCTGAATACATTTCCTGAGAATGCTTTTCAATAATTTCTTCTGCCTTTAAATTTGCTATTTTTCTTCGATACGCGGCCTTGAATGCTTGTATTATTCCTGCATCACGTGGATGGAATACTGATGTCGTGTTTTTCGGTAAAAATTCCAGCCTTATGTGTGCAAGGTCTAGTACATACACATGCATTCCCTTTTCGTTTAGTCCTTTGTAATTGTAGCCGGGTTTTTCTTCTTCAATAGTCGTAGTTATGATTAGCTTGTGGCTTGGAGCATTATCTACTATAAGAAGAATGTTTCTGTTTTCTCTTGTGGATGCTTCTTCCCATTTGAGTAGCCATCGATGAAACAGTTTATGTTCATCCAAGCATTAGTTTGAAAGTCGTATAATTGTTTAACGTTGGTGTACTTTCCATCAGAGAACCACCTTGGATTTCGATACTTCCCAACAACCAAAAGATTTTCTTTTTCTCCACTCAGTGAACAGCATATCATAATTGTAATTCCTTTCCTTCCTTCTTTCCATGGTTATCACTATTACTTGACAATGTTTTGAAAGGTAACAACTTATAGAAAAGACCTGTTTCATCCGCATTGTACACATTACCAGTAGCATACTGTGCAATATTTTTAACCAGCTTATCAATTGCCTCCTTGTGTTTATCTAGGTCAACTGAATTGCTTTCTCCGCATAATTTCTTTGATCTAAGTTGCTTTCTTGAACAAAACGACGAAATCCAACCGTTGAAAGCATCATATCATCATAACCCTTTTCAAAGCAGTATTTAAAAGCTAAACTCTTGACAACATTGTAGCAAACTAGGGTATTGTATGACCTCACATTTTTTAACATCTTGAGCATGTTCTCTTCCAAGTCTGGGTGTTTAACTTTTCTCAAAACTTTGGCATTCCTTGGTATTGTTGGCTCAATCAAACTTCCCTTGATACCATACTTTAACAACATCCTCAGAGACTCGCGTTTTGGACATTTTTGTAAATTTTGGTATATTATTTCTCTCATTTTTTTCAATGATGGTTTCGGGGAAGCATTAGCCCATTGTAAAATTTGCTTTTTTCATCAATTGATAAAAATGTTTTTGGTTTTGGTAAAGACATGAATAAGTTATAAAATTGTATGATTTTTTTTAAAATGACATTTGTGATCCAAATTAAACATTGTTTAAAATCATCTTAAGGTTAAAACGTGGTAATCTTTTTTCTTTTTTCTTAATTTTAATTTTATTTTCATTTTACATTTTTTTTAAAAAAATTTTTTTCTAAAAAATTGAGTTAAAAATAAAACGCCCGCTCTTGAGATAACAAAATTTACCATACCCGCCCGCTCTTGGGAGGTTTTACTGTATTTTATTTTTTTGGCTCTTTTGAAATTATTATTTTTAATAATTGAAGCTTATCAAAACAAAATCATTGTTTGACGTAAAAAAATGGGTTAAGATTAAAAGTTTTCAAAAATTTATTTGGTAAAAAAGAATATCAATGTGTTTTTAACTTTATTGGGCTGGGTTCCTTGAAAATTTCAGACACATAATAATTGTAATGTTATCCAAATAAATAATTTTATTATTGTTGTAATTTGAAAAACAAAAAATGATAGTTAAAAGAAAACAATTGTTTAGAATATCTCCTTGTTATGTTATTATCGACAAATGGGCGTTGAGTAATAATTATGGATATCGAAGTAGTTACATAATGAATTTATTAACAATGGTTTATATTTGATTTTTCTTTGTCTCAACAAAATGTCTAATCAATTACACATAATTACAATTATTTATTAGAAATAACAATGTCATTTAAATCATTATTTAATTAAAAATATTATTTAACATTCACAATTGTATTAAACATATTGTATATTTGTTATTAATTTATTCAAATGTTAAACATGTTAATTATTTTGTTATGTGAATAATTGAAAACATTATTTCAAAAATTAATTAATTGTGATTATTTTTGGAGGGGGATAAATTTTTAGTTGGTCTTATTCATTGTTTTTTTAATAAAAAAAACTTGAAAACAACATTTTTAAACTTTATGAATTAAAAAAGCCAAACTTATATTTTTGTTTCCACATTCAGATATTAAAACAAAATTATTTATTGAAGACAAAACCTTGTAAATAACAAAAAATGGCAATTTTATTTATTATTTTTGATAACTGAAGAATACGTGATTATAGCAATCAGTCTCGGGTATAGTTATATGCACTGTTACTTTGAAGAATTTAGATTTTTGGCACAAGTACTTTTCAACATCTTTAGTACATTTAATTTTAAAAAAATTAAGTGATGCCCACACAGCCTAAACTATTTCACAAGCACAATTTTTACTCGACCAAAGAACTTCGATTTGATATTCGAGTCTGTCAGTCATGTTGTTCTTATTGTTTGTTATTTATCTCGTTGATATTAATTTTTACAGTAAAATTTCAAGTTATTTGTTCTTAATTTCATTGACGTATCCATCACATTAAAAAACAAAAATGTTCTCCCAACTAATGTTTGTAACAACGTCCTATTTTTCTCTGTTTTTATGCACTGTGTCTCCGCATAAAAAAATCAAATCTGTCAATTTGTCTAAGTTTGTTTTGATTTAAAAAAAAGATTTATAATAAAATAATATTTTTAAAAACAAAATCCAATAACATTTTGACAAATAAAAACTATTTTTGTCGAAAGGTTGATGGACAGACTTTAGTTGTTTATTTTATTATAATTATCAAGTTTTTAAAACTGATTATTTTTTATTTATAGAGTTTGTTGTTAAATGTTGTCTCAGTCGCAAACGTTGTTCTTATTTATTCTTTTATCAATTTATACACAAATAATTGTCTGAATCCCCGGAATTGGGAAAAAATTGAAAAAAAAACTGAAACGACAAATTTTAATAGATTATATTAAAATTAACCAAAAAATTTATATTTTCTAAAAATAAACAAATGAAACAATTCGTTTTTTTTCAAATAACATATTTATTAAAATAGAATTATAATTTTACTAAAACAAATAATATTATAAATAATGTATATTTTGTTTTGGCATAAATATAAACTTTATATGAAAACAAAGATAAAAAGATTAAAATAACAACAAAAAAATCTAAAATTTAAACAACTTTCATTTTTTCAAAATAGATTTTATTTTTTCAACCCCAAATTGTTTGCTTAAAATGTAAATGAAGTTTTATGAATGGAATTAAACATTGTTGGCATAATTATTTGGTAAATTAAAACTTATAATAAAAATGTTATTTAGTATGGTTGTGATTCTCGACTAGATAATTACAAATTTTCAATTTTAAACTTAATAATAATAATAATAAGTCCAAATAAATATTTTTTTCCTGTTTTGTATTTTTTACACCTAGAGTTATTCCCTAAACGTTCTACACTTTATGAATATTATTTTCGGAATTTTTTGGGAAATTGGTATATAAGCATAAATAGCAGCAAATAACATAAACGCTATTTTGGGAAATAATATATTATTTCCCGAATTATTAGATAGAAAAACATGAAAAAGAGGGGTGTACAACTTTGTGGGTGCATAACGTTTACTGACTGACTCTATATAAAAAAGAATAAATAGAATAAAATCAAGTAGATTGTATAAACTTGCAAAAAACATATTCTTTGTTTCAATACGTATATGTACATATACATACCCCTTTTGGTTTTCTTTTTTTCGTATAAAAGCGTTTTGGTCTCAATTTTTATTTATTAAAGCAAATGAATAAGTTAATCATTGGAATAATAGTCGGAGTGTCTATCATTTCTACACTCTGTGTTGTTGTCATTGTCGCCGTTACTCTTGGTGTTGTTCTCTCTAAAGATGATTCTTCTGGTGACGTACCTATTAATTTCAAATCAGTTGTCAACAATCCTTACATGGTCAATGAATTAGACACCTTTGAAATTATTTCTCGCACCAAATTTAGTGGTGAGAAGCCAAAGATTATGAAGATGAAATATACAAAGTACCCATATTGGGCAACAACAGAAAAATTTACAACTGACGAAAAAACTGCGATCATTGAAGAAAACACCCGAATATGGGCAGATTTGCCAACAATGATAAACAATGGTAGTTACGGACGTATGAGTCCTGAATTGGGTGGAGAAAAGCAATTCGAAGCCACTGGTGTGAACTGGGAAGCGGACAGAGTAACTATTAAATATGGAATAATGGGCAAGTTGACTGGAATGCGTCTTGTTGGTTGGGTATTTCCAGGTGAGTTGTTTACTGTGACTGTTCCTCAAGATCTCAACATTGGTGAAAAAAATCTTCAACTTTGTGTTGGTAAATGTAGCTCATCAGCTGGAAATCATTGGCTTAACGTTGCAAAATTTTCCAACAACCGAATGCCATTAGACTCTTACCAATTCCCACTCAAAGAATCTTTACTTGACAAAAATCGGCAATACAAATTGGGATCTCCTTTTGGTGGTGGAGTTTATGTGTGGACTAATGACAACGTGAAAAATTGGAATCCATTCTTTTTGACTTTCAGCAACTTAGGACTTGCTCCCCGAATCAATTATGGTGAAACAACAAACAAACAGTGGAATGAAGAGTTGAGAAATGCTCCAGGAAATGTTGCTGAAATAAGAGCACCTGGAGTTAGACTAATCATGACTGCACGAAACGTCAGAGAAGTTGAAGATGCCGAATTTGTAGGAACTTGGTGGCATGAAGCAATTTCTGTTGGAAACACTTTTACATTTTATCCATTGCCAATTTCTATGATGTTTGACGAAAGAGTTGATGCGGGTGCTGCTGTCGCTTTTGTTGGTGCGTGGTTTTGTCAAATACCAAATTCATGGGCTGCTTCCACTGTTAATAAACAAGCTATGATTACTCAACTCAATTGGGGAACTTTGCATGAAATGAATCACCACATGGAAGGAACATACGCAAGAGATGGTAAATGGGGAATGGGTGCTTCTGAGACGAACAACAATGTAATAAACGCTCTTTTCCATATTGATTACAACAATATTGCTGCAAAAAGAAATAAGGGACTTACTGATTGGGAGTATATCACTGACGGGTATTCGACAATGAAAACCGTTTTCGATAATTCACAAAACTCAATTTATTTGAGAACATATGTGACTCCAGCATTCGGTTTTGGAACTATTGCAGTGAGTAATTTAATCAACAATTATTATAACATGTATTACAATGAAAAGTATGACACAACATTTGGAAAGTCCAGAACAGACTCCGGAATTTTCTGTCTTTTGTTAGCAAGAGCAATTGAACGGGATACACAATATTACTGCAATATTTTCAAGTGGGCAATTGACACTAAAATACTTGCAGAGATCAAGAAGTACAAATACCCAACTTTCTTCCCATTTTTCATGAGTTACTCACATACATACAACGGCAATAAATATGGTAGAACTTATACATTGCCGTATAATATTACAACAAGACTCAACTTTACAGCTTCTACTGCAATGGATAAGGCAACAAAGAACATTAAGTTTGAAATAGTCGAAGGACTTACAAAAGGAAACTTAAAAAAAATTGAAGAGAATGTTTATGACTATACCCCAACATACAAACCAAGTGACGGTGATACTTTTAAAATTAAGTTCACCTTTAATGCCAACGGAGAGAACGGAGAAATTATATACGAAGGAGAGTTCGTCACTGAAAATAAAGCGCGACGTGGATATGGCTATAAAGTCGTATCTGAAACAAAACTGAACAATATGTCGGATGTCGAGGCAATAATGAAAGGACGCGACATGTCAAACTATGATTACACAAGAAACTCCAATGCAATGCAAATCAATAATTACAATGACAAAGTCGATAATGTTGATACACCAACTTTTAACACAGTTGAAGGAACTTTTATTGTTCCAGACGAAGGCTATTACACACTTTTCGCTAAAACAGACGAAATGGGTAGTTTGGATATGCAAATGGAAGATGGCAAATACACTCGTTTTGCAACAGTAAATAAGTACATTTCAGGTTACCAAAAGAATTTGGAAGGTTCATACAAAACAGCACTGTTGAAAGCCAATTACCCATATAATTACATCTTGCAGAATTATAATGCAGGAGGACAAGGTGGTATAACTATTGGGTACTGTTACCATGGCACTAAAGAATCCGAAGTCAACATCTCATCTTGTAGTATAAAAGATGTGCCAGCAACGTATGTGTACGCCAAAGGGTTGGGACCACAAGATGTCCAAAAAGAGTATGTCTACCCACCTATCAAATACAGCCGTCAAATTCGTTATTTGAACTACAAAATGGTAACCTCCCCACAATGCATCAAAGATGATTGCAGTGTCGAATGTTTTCAATTGCCACCGCCTGGTAGTTCCAGTGATGTTTGTAACAACATCTTTGATCGCAGTGATTCGACTTACTACCACTCAGCTTGGACTGGAAGTGGGACAACCTTCCCAACAACATTTTTCTTCCATTTCAACAAGACTGTTTACTTCAATTCAATGGAACTTCGTATGAGACGTTGGCAAGACACCTTTGGCAACTTCACCATTTACTGTGGTAAAGTTGAAGAACAACTCGATAAGATAATGACAGTCGAAAAGAGTAACAGTAATCCACGTACATTAACATTCACAGAAATTCAGAGGTGTAATTACATCAAATTTGAAGTGCTCAACAACGCAAATGGTTATAATTATGTCAACCTCGGCGATTTGTTATTATACATTGAACAAAAGTACACCAATTTATTTAAACCAACACACCCTGATGTTAGATCAACAGGATTTGTTGCTCGTAATGCACCTGGTCATTATGAAAATGTACTTTTTGAAAACACAGAAGATGGAAAAGGTCAAATAACATTCCAAATGGTTGGTAAGCGATTTGGTCTCTTTGGGGACTACGATAGCTCATTCGGAAAACTCGAAGTGTTGGTAGATGGAAAAGATCCTGTTTTTTATAAACAAATTGACACCAAATCATCTATACTAAGAACACTTTACCTTGCTTGCAGTTTTGAAGAAGGAACTCACATAGTCACAATCAATGTGAAAGAAGGAAGAGTCAATCTTGATGTGATTGGATTCGACTAAATTTTTAAATCATTATGTTTTTCTCTTTTCATTATTTTTATAATTATTATTATAAAGTCTGTTTTCTATTTAGCGATATTCTAAAAATATTACAAAGAAAAAAAACTAAACCGAAAATATTAAATTATTATTTACTATACTTAATATCATTAATTGAAAACCATTAACTATTAACTTAAAATAACGCCCTTATTTTTGTTTTGACCTGTTTTTACAGGGATATTAATCCAATTTTTGATGATTTTCCTTTTTTAGCTTGTGTATTGTTTATGAACATAATATAAACTCCAAAAAAACGGAAATTTATTTAATAAACTCAAAATTTCCCGATTTTTAGACAACTTAAATTTTGTTCAATGTTATTTAAAGTGTTAATAAAATTGTCATTAATTAAAACTAATGATAAACAAATCTTGAGCATTGACTTTTTTGAAACCACTTGTTGTCGTCTTCAAATCTATTCAAATGATAATTTGACATGTCTGCTCTATCAAATGTGACATTTTGTTCATTTTAAATTATCAAGTTGACTTGTTAATTTCTTCGTCTTCACATTTCAAGACTAACCTATTCTTCGTTTTGGTTTTATTATTTTTTCATTTGTTAATACTTAAAAAGTATATAAAATGCGTTTTTGGGAAATGATGTTTAAAAATAACAAAACCTTTCAAAAATATAATGTTTTATAAAAATTCAAATAAAACAGTAAAAAACCTATAAAATTAAACTAATCTTAGCTTACAAAATGAATGGTGGTTGACGTCGTAACGGACACTTTTTTGGCCGCCCGATTTTACACGTCCAAATAATACTAAAATTATTTGTATTTGTTGCGTTCTCCCCTGAAAGTTATTATCTCCACAAATTGTTATAATTTCAAATTGTGCAACCTATTGAGTTCTTAAAGTTGCATTAATTTGAAGCCTTTTTACTATTGTTGAAAAATCACCTCTTAGACTGTTAAATATTCTTTGTTTCACTTCAACTACAAATTTTTCTTTTTTACCCAAGACTGTCTCCAAATCAATACCATTCGACATGTCATCGAATGTGTCATCACATCTTAAAGCCCTTTAGCAGCGCCAGAGAGTTCATCCATTCTATCATAGGCCGAGTATTTTACATTTATTCCTTGGTTTTTCATCTTAAGGCCCAAGTTTTTTTGTCTTAAACAAATTATTTAAGTGGCTCGCTTACCAGCTTTAGTTCGAGCTACTAATTCGCTTCCCTATATTTTAATTTCTGTTTGTTTTGTCAAAGCTTTATGTATTTTTTATTATTTAAGTTTTTATATTATAATTATAACAAATATTATAAAAATATTTAATATATCCTCTATTTTCAGTATGACAAGTTTGACTTAAACGACAAGTTTGGGTTAAATGGTAAAAATTATAGTTCAATTATAATATTTTTTGAACTATAACCTGAACTAATTAATTGCTTTTTTATAATCAAGTTGATATAAATAATTTAATAATTAAAAGCAAGCCAAAAACCCAAACACACAACATAAAGAATAAGAAAGCAATGAAAAAAGTAAAGATAATTATAAACTATCACACGATCATGATCATCACCAACATTTTAATGTGAACACAAACAATAAAGTTTTATCAAAATTTGTCAAATAAAGTAACCATAACATTTAAAATTCAATTCAATTATAAATACAGTCTGATTTCCCCAGAGTGTGTAATTATTATTTTTGTTGTTCTAAATTATTTGAGCATTTCTTAAGAACAAACCCAGATAAGATAGACATGCTCTTTAAAGAGTGGGTCCACGTTTCATTTGCCAAAATCAAGCGGAGATTCTTAATGAATCCCACTCTTGGGAGGTTTGCCGGTATTTCCTTTAGTTGAATTCGTTTTTATGGATTATATTATTATTATTTGGTTAAGTTAAAAGCGGTATTTCCCCGTCGCGATAGGAGATACTGCTGATTTATCATATTAAAATAAATATAAAGTAACACAAACGTTTCCGAATGAGGTAGAAAATGTTTGACGTGTTTGAACTCAACGAGACAAACACGTTGAAATATACAAAACAATACTTAACATGTGTCGTGGTTTTATTTTTCAAGATTCGACTGTAACAGAAAACAATAGAATTAATAGTAATTTAAATAATATTCTATTTAACCATTATATTATTCTCTAGTTTAACCCACTGTTTACTATTGTTAATAGTTTTTAAACTATTAACATAAACCATTTAAGTCAAACTATTCCATTTAAGGCAAACTTGTCTAATTGTATTATTTTATTTTATTTCCTCTATACTACTATATATATTATTTATGTAAAATTTATTTTTTTTCTGGTTATAGTTGTTTTTAATTAATAAATTCATAATTGATAGTTGTTCTATTTCAAGCAGCTAACAAATTCTATAATTTACTATATTAATATACCATAATTTACTATAACAATTATAATAAACCTCTAAACTACAAATTTATAATTTTCATATAATTAATTTTACTAATAATTTTAAGGAATAATTCATAAACATAACTTAATATCCAAAAATAAAAAGGTCTCGTGTTTGAGCATACATACAGACCGACAAAACTCAAGGAATAATCAAAAAATACTAAAGTACTATTTTAATTATTTAATTATATTATTTTTGAAATGAATATAAAATAGTAAAAATTAATAACAAATTAGTTTATGTTACAACACCATACAAATTGACTTTAAATTGAAGTTTACATATTGAACGGCGTTTCATATGTAAACTTTAGAAATTTCATACAAATTTCATATTAATTTAGAAAATTTAATTGAATTCATTTTCTAAACTGCTTTAGTTCTTATGATAATAAATAATCTTCTCAACTAATTTGAAATATAGCAAAAAAACAATAAAAAATATTCTATGATTACAAGGTTTATTACACTAATTATATTAAGTGTTATTGATAAATTAATTATTTATAACTTTAACTTATAATTTTATTAAAATAAATCAAACATGAAATGAGTGTAACATGTTATGATTATAAAAAACTGGAAATGGAAGTATTATAATTTAATTTAATTTAACTAATCTTGGTAGTAAATTATGCAAATTAAATACAATTCAGTGTTATTGATGTTTTTTCTCAAATTAACATTACCAAATAATTTTTAGTCTAATCAAAATTTTTCAAATTTTATGAGGGGGTCATAAAATCTAATATCGAGCTTACAACAGCTTAAACATCGAGCTAAATTCGGGAATATTAGGACAGTTTTTTCAATATTTACATTTTTTGATTCTCAATATTCAGTCTTTTTTCTAAGACTGCTTAAAATAATCATGTTTGATTATTTCGAGATTCTTATATTGTAAGATTATATTTTTTTCACGGTTTTTATACATTATAATATCACATTTAAATCGTATTTAAAAGATTTTCTAAATATCGTGTTATTACTAAGTATTGAAAGCTGTGGTAACAATTATTATAAATTAATAATAACAATTTAAAATAATAAAAAGTGAAAAAGAGAGATGACAATTTATTTATAAATATTTGACACTTTCCTTTTCCACCCGTTTACCAAAAAAATG